TGTTCTTAAGAAGAACACAGGAAAGTCTGGACTCATGAAGAACAGGAGCAGGCAGCATAGAAATGGGTCAGTTGGAATATAAGCGTACTGATGCATGCTGGGACAGCTGTCAATCTTGTTCAGGAAAGACACAGCCAGACAGACAAGGTCCCAGCCATCTCACCCATAGTAGAAAAAACAGGACTACACTGGCAACAAACAAAACTCCAACATCTATAAACAGAGATGTCGATAGCAGCAGCACAGCTGATATTTCAATCCAGAATGAGGTCACAGTTAAACATCAACAGACCAGGTGAAGCTACTATGACGACAAAAGGCAGAGAGAACATGAAGTTATGAGTGGAACTTAACAGACACCACAGAATGGGAGAAGAGAGACAGAATGAAGCACAACGAGGTAAAGTGGTCCCTATGTGATCCAGCATCCCAAACATATAGCAGCATAAATACAAAAAAAGATCAGGATAACCTCATTATTTTGGATGAGACATAGGAAAAGTAGAGCCAAGGAAGAATGAAATAAACTAAGGAAAAATAAATGATCAAAGGAATGAAACAAGTGTGAATGATTGCTGTAACCTATATTAAAGTGACTTACTGTAGACATGCAGCGGGATAACTACCAACAGAATCAGCCAATAAACTGCTACTGGGAAAGCCTGAAACTTGTGACCTGATAAAAAAAAGAAAAGTATTTTTGTTATTATTATCAGACTTACTACCAGTAACTGGATGGATTTTCTAAACAGAAAAAATAACTTCAAGTTGTCCTATTCACATTTGAATTTCTACTTTCAACATAGTAAACAGAAGCCCAAAGCTTATCGTTAAGACTTTGATATTCCACTTTGTTCATGTTTTACCTGGGGTAGCGCTCATGTTCATCTGAGCACCTGCTGCTACTTGAGGATAGTCCGATTCTGCAGTTTCCTCTGAAAGACATGAGAATAAAATACAATGTCCTCTAAACCAAAGGTCGTCTTTAAAAGAGCAGCAGTTAATAGCTGACTTTCCATTTTCTGGCTTTGATTAGGTTTGTTCATCTTTTGTGTTTCTGAATTTATTAAATGTTTATTATTATTTCCAGGGAACAAATATCTCTAACTATGTGTTTACTCCCTCATAAACATATCTTCCTTCTATGTTCATTAAAACACAAACATGGTTTTACTTGTATGGTGAAAAAAATCTAACGCTTCATAAATTGTAGTTTAAACAGATTACAAATACAAGGATCAAGTAAGATAATTATAATTATTATAAAATATTCAGAATATACTGTAACTAAAAACAAAAGCCTTAACATGCCTCTTACCTCCAGACAAATAAAGATTTGGGTTCTCAGATGCACCGTGCAGACTTTGAGCTTTTCTGTCCATTCTGTAAAAGTTTCAACACATCATATGAGGACAGAAGGTAACCGTCACAGAGAAAAACCTCAGACTTTTTACCCTCAAAAGGACTTCTAAGTTCTGCTTTTATGACGTGTTTAAAGTCTTAAGTTACCAACCTGTTATTCAAGGAGGTACAGTTCACTTTCCTGATTCTCAACAAGAAAAGTTTTTTTTTCTGTTGAGACAAAAAAAACCAACAACCTTAATAATAATAAAGGATAAGATACTAAACAACTTTTCACCGATGGCTTTAGTTTTAAAGTGATCATACAGAAACTTGTAAAGATTCTTTAAACCAGAAAGTTAACGTACTGTATGCTTGGTTTTAAGTTCCTTTTTTTTATCTTACTTTATTAAGTGTGTCTTCCATGATGCTGCAGCGAACATTTTAGATTTGCAGGAAAAATACTTTTGTAATTCATAAATGTTCTAATAGAAATGTTTCAAACACTTTAACCCACAGAGCCTCAGGGAAGTATTCACATTTCTTAACGTTTTCCGCATTTTGTCCTGACAGCCTCATTTGAAAATGGTCTCTTTGTTTTTAAAACACCTAAAGTAGATTTTTTTTTTTTTGCACATCAGTTTTGATAGATATTGTGTTGAAGCACTTTCAGGTAGTAAAAACATCCTCAACTCCTCTTAAGTATGTCTCATTACATTGGGGTTTTGGTGTGCCAATGTAAGGGGATATTCAGGTAACTTTTAACTCAATACTCTAAGCTCTGTGAGCGCTCCATTGGAAGCTGCTGATGCCACAGTGCATGCTGGGATAGCTGTCAAACTCAAGAACGGACAAGTCTGCTCTGATATATACTCGGTAAATAGGGAGGGAGGAGAACAACATCCGGGGACTTTGCCCGTTCTCCGTCTTGTGTTCTTGTGAACTGGAACATCACTAGTGCTGAGGCTGATGACATTTTCACAAGTAAACGAGCACATTAGAACGCACAACTACAAATATTGAGAAACAGCTTATATCCCTCACCTCCCTTAGAACATATCCAAACTTCTCCCAGAGTTTGTGGTTAAAGAAATGTCACAGTATGTTTGGAACCGCTGGGTCTGACCAGCATCCTCCCCCTCCATCATAGCTAACCCACCGCCAGGTAGCTGTCAGTGAGCTTTCTAGCCCTCTCTTTGCCTCAATGTTCCAGTTATGTGGCCACAGTTTAGAAAAAATACTACAACAATGATAATAAACCAGGGTGTCCTGATGCGAAGAGCAGATTTTGATGCCCTTATGCTTGAATATGGTGTTTGTTATGGACAGTCCATGATTAGCACAGAAGTCCAACAGCAGCGCGGTGGTTTTTGCATTCAGCTTTTAAAAAATATCACTGAAAAAAGAAAATTCAGAACCAGTAAAGCAATTATTGCATCGCTGATGTCACCAGTTTTGTGGGAACGTAAATCATTTAATTTACATCATTATTTATAGCTGAAATGTTTTAAGCTAACTGCTTCAGTG